CCCGTCTGTCAAATCACATTTCAACTATCAACCATCTATTTCTGGAGTCTATTTCTGGCTCATCCATTCAGCATAAATGTCTGGTTCGGGATTTTCGGACGTTAGCACTACCTTGCTAATATTACCTGTGACAAGCCCTGAGCGGAGGACCCAAATCTTGGCATTGCCCGCATTGTGGACCAGTTCCTGCATGAGGTGCTAGCAGGTTGGTGGTACAGGTTGCTAGACACATCTAGACACCCTCTGGCTGCATGATGTTCAGAAAAATTTCTGCGAACTAAGTCTGTGACACAGTACGGCTTTTGATCGATGATGTAGTGGTTGGCAACAATTTTTGAGGTCCTCGTGGCAATGCCAAGTCAACATAATGAAGAGTACTACTGATGTTTCACGAATTGCAACTCCCAAGTTTTGAGCATAGAACATATGTAATTACATATGTTTCGTTGGGCTTCTGAGTCTTCTGTGCTGAGTGCATCACTTCTCTTGCCGCATTAAGAAGCGACACCTGCGCGACTCCACATGCCTTTCGCAGAGCAGCTCCACCACTCACTGGATGCATCCGGAAATCATCAATACTGTTGATACTCAACAGCAATCGGGTGTGACTGAAAACAGGATATAATATATATATATAACGTGATATAACGGTATACCGGGATATACCTGTTATTTTGTAGGAAAAATGATGATGGACCATGGGATGTTGGGGTGCCCTGTAACTGTGTATGTTCAGAAAGATTCGTGTCTTTGGGCGTCGCGACTGCGCAACCAGTCGCATACATCAAAAAGTGAGATCAATGATGGTCAATGGATACTCAAAACTAGTCCTTTAAACAGATAAAATGTGACATTCAATGGATTTCCGGAAAATCTTACAGAAAACCATGGATCTCAAAGACTCAAAGCCCTTTTTTCCAGCTTTTGTCCTGGTCCATCCCCCATGCCTCAGGATCTTGGCATCGCCCGTGCCACGTTCCTTCCACTCACCCTCCACGAAGCGCAGTAGCTTGGAACGCTGGCTGTAGAGCTCCTGGGGGAAAGTGGGCTATTGAGAAAATTCGGTGGTCCAGTGGGGTTTTTCCGAAAATGAGAGTTTAACCCAAAGATATGGCCGCTTTGATGGCCAAAGTATGGGAAAGTGATGATTAACTCCATCAAATTTTGGGCTGCCCTATTTTCAGACAAACCCAGTTTAGCAAATGATATCACTACTTGGAGGGATATAATAAATCCAGGTGGCATCCCCAACAGCAGTGAACACCTACTGTATCAAGCTTCAACCCAACCATCCCGGAACCCACACCAGAATCTAAACCAGAACCCACGCCAGAACCAACACCAGAAACCACACTGGAACCTCCGGACGCACCACATCGGAACCCAATGCCATCCCGGAACCGACATCGGAACCCGCACCACTCCAAAACCTTCACATGCACCGAAACTGTATCTGGGCTGAGACCCCTAAGGCCCTAAGCTAACCCTCATTGGGAAAAAATTAGACAAATGCTAATAATCCACGCCGAAAGATGCATGATGCATCCAGTGCAGCATCAGTCTAAGCGGTTCCACCAAATTTGCCCGGATTTTCCCGGTTCCTACGAAGACCTTCCACCGAAATTCTTCACCGAAACTTTCTTTCCACCACAACCCGTCACCGGAACCTGCACCCAATCCTCCCGCAACCAGCCCAGAACAAGCCCGGAACCCGCACTTGAATCTGCACCGGAACCTCCCGGAACCAGCCCAGAACCTGCACTGCAGGCCGCACGAACCTTATCTGGGCTGAGACCCTTAAGTTAAGCTAATGATCCGGGGACATTACCCAAAATCGTGGGAGTTTGGCAACCAAATCTCAGAATATAGATACATCCATGGAGGGGATCCCGGGAAGAAGAAAACGCCCCTTGAATCGAGCTGAATGCTGGAAGACTTCGATTGGACGATCCTCTTCCGACTCTTCCCCTGTAGCCACATGGTCTTTAACCTCCAAATTCACTGATGGTGCCCAGCCAGGAATCTGTGTCACCTTGGACCAACAGAGTGCATCCACGGAACATCACGGAACATCCATTTCAACACTCCAAACAAGAGCCCATGGATGACAAAGATGACAATAGTGAGGCCGGTACTTCTTCCTCTGGATCGTAGTCTCCCTCCTCCTTCAGATGCCCAAATGATGGCACAGTGTCACTAAGCCCCAGAGCCCTTTATGCATACTTTGATGAGATAACCTGAGGAATGGAGAACTTCCCAAACAGGATTATCGCCGTCGCCCATTTCTGTTTCGGTTGGTTATTGATGGTTAGAGTATGTAGTTCTATTTGTGTCTATTTGTGGCATTCCCATGTTTGACCTCACTCTCGGATGGATTGGAAGAATTGCAGGGAACCATAGAATTCGACTTCCCAAGCTCAATGTTTCCTGTTCCCCCCCAGAAACCAAAATATAGCAACCAAAGAAACAAAGAAGATGCAGAATAGCACGGAATAATTCTGGGAGAAAAACATCGTTGAACTACCTTGCGTGTTCGGTGCGTGTCGGCATCCTTTTTTTGGGTGTAATTACTGCGAATAAATCCCAGTCTATCCCCAATCACATCCGCAATTATTTCATTATATCATATATCCCAACGATGATCACGATGTCCCCATCATATCCCATTTAGGGACTACTGAAATGTCATTGGAAATGGCCCACCTGCGCACCGTTGGCATTTGCCGTGGACGGAAAAGTCGCTGGGGCAGCGGGTGCGGTCCACCTGTAACAAAGGACGGCTGCGACTTCTACAAGGGAAACCCAGAAACCATGGGTGCTCTTGGTTTTTCACCATGTTCTTGACTTGTACTTGTTTGGATACACTGATGCACTTATTCATTTACAAATAGGTAGGGTAAATAGACAAATGGCTATAGTCTGCGGCTAGAGCTTCGTTCACCCATTCCAGGCATTCCTCATCCTTCGTCTGGGGAGCTAAGATTTCGACAATCCAGGCGTTGGGCCGCTGGATGGTGCCGAACTCAGCCTGGAATGGTGGAATGAAGGAAGTGGCTAGGAGCCATGGTTGCATCATAGTATCCATATTCTCTGTTGAATATGTTTAAATGGAGAGCTAGGGAGCCACTAAAGTGTTCCAGCCACATGATATATGAATACGTGTTCTGTATAGAGAGAGAGGAGAAAAAAGAGAAATAGAAATAGAATGAATAGAAATGGAAATAGATGATATACATCCTCGAGCATTCTTACCCGAAGACAGCTAGGTCTAGGTGCAGCACAGCCTATCGCTGCTCGACATTCCAGCCAGCAGTCCTGCAACATTTTGCGATGGTAAACTGGGTCCGGCCCCAAATCAAAAATCAGAGTGGCACCCTTTTGTTCATGTAGTGCTGCTTGATTAGAACGGACAACATCCAAGCAAATGCAAACCCATTGCACAAGCTTCCACTGTTTCTCGCTTCCCGGAGTTCCACCAAACACTATTTGTTCAGCTAAGGCTTTGCAGAGGTGTGAGAACTCAATGGAGAACACCAGCAGCCACTGGCAGGCTGTGTTTGCATTTGCTTCTCCACCACGGAGATTTCCAAGTCGACAGCAAAGCTGGACAAAGTCAAGTCCTCACCAGAATGTTCCTGCTTGGTGTGGAAGGCTTTCTCCTATTTAAGCCTTAGCAGCCTTAGCCTCATCTCTTGCAGTTCTTCATGACCAGAGAAGTAGCAAGCACACCCCAATGCATCCCGCAAGGGGAGCTCCTATTCTTTCAACTTCAGGGACACATGCAGGCACGACGTGGGTGTTGTCTGCAACGCCTGCCTTTTGCAGGCTACCCTTTGTGAATCAAGCCCTGCAAAAACAGCATGGCTTGGCCAATGGCTGCAGGAAGAACATGTTGCGTGTTCACCACTGCACGGCAGAAGCTTATAGACCCGCAACTCATCACTGCTTGGGGCTCCTCCAGTGGAGGCTCCGCTGAAAAGACCCCCGGATGAAGCTGAGCCTGACAGTGACCTAAGCATTGAAAATGGTCGCCCAAGGGCACGGAAGTTGACTTGACCACACAGAAGGCAATAACTACTGCCAGTCAGCCATGACAGAACTGAAGAGGAGCAAATAGGGGCTAGGATGATACAGTACTAATCTGAATTGGTGGCTGTCCGAGATACTGTCGAAAGTCTTGGCCCCAGGCAGGGTTGAGAATAGTGTCCCCGCTGTCTTGCCTGAAGCCTGCGTTGAAGCTCACAATGCGATAGTCTAAAGCTGGAATACAGATGGAAGCGGCATCCTGATATGTTTTGACGCAAGTTGACGATGTTCGAATGGTCAGGTTAGTTGCAGTCCATTTGTGCAAAAGTCTTGTTATGCTGCGGAAGGTCCAAGATATGCTCATGGTTTAAGTAGTAGTTTGGTTTGCTTGGTCCAAACAACTCTTTGGTTTCATGATCTGGCTCCCCACGTGGTCAGCATCTTGAACCCGATTTTGGGGTCAGTATCCTTCCTTGTGGACAAATGTAAGCTGAAAGATTGTTTGTACATATTTGTACCAAGAGTGGCCAAAAATCTGTGGGTTGGAATCGGAAACTTTGACTAATGCCAAACTGCTGTCCCCTTCCGAAAAACAGCAGGTGATTGACAGCCCTCGTGGCCATTGCTCAGGGCGTCACAGATTGTCCAGGTGAATCTGCCGCCTAGTTGGAAGATGTTGGAAGGGATGCCTCACCCACCTTCCCACGGACCTGAAAATTTCACCTTCCAAACTGAGTGACCTAAGTTTCAAGTTGAGCATGGACCCACATACGACCTACAGATTCCGGCACCTAGGATAGACATTGAATATGGGTATAGACACAGATAGATATAGATAATGATATAGACCTAGATACAGATATAGATTCAGATATAGATATAGACATGATAGAAAGAGAAAGAGATAGAGATATAGATACAGATAGAGATTGAGATAGGTAAATGGATAGACGAATAGAGAGATAGACAGATAGACGGATAGAGAGATAAAGAGAATTAAAGAGAGATAGACGGACAGACGGACAGACGGACAAACGGATAGACGGATAGAGAGATAGAGAGATAGACAGATAGACGGATAGACGGATAGAGCGACAGACAGACTGACTGACTGACTGATTGATTGATTGAATGATAGCGAAATAGATAGCCAGGTAGGTGGATCAGGTGAGATCAGATGAGATCAAATGAGATCAGATAGACAGACAGACAGACAGGCAGACAGACAGACAAACAAACAAACAAACAAACAGACAAATAGATATATACCTGGACTAGTAGAAATCCATGTCATTATGTAATGCCCGTGTGACCATCCATGACTTGCCTGAGCTGCTGGTTGGCCCCAAAGCCCACCTTCCAAGCGCAGAGCTCGGGCACTCAACAAGGTCACCCGCACTAATCGCACAGGGCAACTACAAATCCACTTACCCTCTGTACTTTAGCACAGCTATGGGAATTGAAATAGTTGCCGTAAATGATCGAATTCAATCAACAGGGTATAGATGGTCTTTGTAACATTGACCGTGGAATTTAAACAATGGTCCACTGGCCGGGCCTCCAGAAGTTGAACCAAACAAGCCGCCACTAAAGAGGCCGCCACTGCTGGAGTTGGTGGAGCCGAACCTTTCGATTCAGGAGCCAAGCAGTCTCAATCCAGCACACCCAACCCCCAAATCCGGGTCAGCCAGTCCCCGAGCTCCGTGCAGTGATCCAGTGGTCGATCCAAACAGTAAGCCCCCAGTGGAGCTGCCTGCTGTCGCACCTGTTGGAGAGCCACCTTAATCGGACCATTTTTGTGGGATACCCCAACAGCATCACAGCAAAATTGGTTGTCCCACTCTCAATCTGCACTGGGCCCGCCCCACCAAGGGCAGATGCGGACCTAGGTCACCAAACATGAGTCAAACAGGAAATGCCGTGACAAAAGGGGTTGGGTCAAAATGGGTGGTTGTTGGAAGCACTAGAATAAGAGTAAAGCAGGCGGGGTCTTACGTTTGGAACTACAGCATGTCTTTCATTGATGGTTGTAAGAGCATGCTAGCATCAAGCATCGGACGAGTTGGATCCGAACAGGGTCAGGCCAGCAAATGGATTTCCATCTGGCCTGAAACCAAGCAAAGATTCAAAGCATGAGCAGTGGCCACTCATACCTCCATTTCATGTCAAAACGCGCTCAGGTAGCGACTGTGGAGCAGTAGCCACCTCAGCCTTGCCGATAAATGCAGCCGCTGAGCTGAGGGCTTGGTACAAATCAGGATTTTAGGGATGATGCCTCCAATGGCTAGGCGATATCGGTCTAAGCGGGAGAAAACCAGGCATTGGTCAAAATTATAAACCCACAAGCCAACAAATGCCATTTGTCATATCAAACCCTCCAGCGTCTAGCAGTACCTCGTTTTGGTTCATTTTGGTTGGTCCTCTCTTTTGTTGGTTTCAAGCTCGCTTCTGATTCCTCCATTCACATCCAATATACGCAATGAATTCACCCTATGTGCGCACGTGAACATAGAAAATATATGAACATATATTGATATATATTGAATATATTGTCAGTGTATAATACTATGCGTGAGTGTTTCGAACCATATGGGCTTGTGTGTGTGCGCGCGCATACACCTGCTTACAAACGTACAGTATAAACATTGGATCAAAGTGGCTTCATAGTGTGAATGCATTGCTTCAAAAACATACGGGCTTTGGATGCTATTCCCAATTCCGCTGACTATAAAGGAAAAAACAATAAGATATCCCAAGTGAATATGCAATGCATAACCTGCCCCTGGGAAAATCTGGCCTGCTTTAGAATTGGCTTTACAGTTACTGTAATTTTTACAGCATTTATCTAATTCACTATCCTTCACTAGCCCCATTTTTGGCATTGAATTGAACCAAGCCCCTTGTTCACCCGAACATCTGAGCAGTGTCCCATGGCTTGAGGGAAGCCAATCACTGTTTCTCATGGTAGAATCAGCATCACCCCCCCCATTTTTGCTGGTTATTCTGCATTTTTTCCCTCGTTGTGAGATCAGCATCAACAACCCATCCGTTTTCTTGTTACATTACCATTTTGTCCACAATAAATCAGCATAAACCCCATCTCTATTCTTCCTAAATCATGTACTTGCTCTCCACATTCTTCTGGTGTCAAAATGATGGAAAAAAAACCCTTCGAAAAAAGAGACTCCAGGTCTGAAAAACTGGGCAATGGTTTTGTTCAGATGTCAAGCTTGAGTCAAGCGGACTAGGAAGTGTTTAGGCATTGGCTAATCATTAGTTTTTTGACATTTTGGTGATTTTTCAAACATTTGAACATCACAAAGTGCCCGAAAAGGCCCAGACCTTGGGTGCAGCCGGCTCTGGCTGGCTGGGCTTGCTGGGCTGGCTGGGCTTCGCCTCGCGGTCCTTCGGCTCCGTGCCCGTCTCACAAGCCTCGCATCCAACCGGTCGAAAAGGCGACCCATGGCGACCCCCAAAAAGGTGCAGAAAAGATATGAAAAGATCACTATGATCACTATCGAATTTCGAAATCGGCCATTTGAAGCTTACTATGACTAGGATTTTTTTAGGCTACGCGTATGTAGAAACCCGCGTTGTTTTGTGCTTCAGGTCATTTGCATCTTTGACATGTGCATCTTTCTTGCATTGTCCGCAGTCATTTCCATGTTCATTTTTCATGTGTCCGTGTTTTGTCATGTTTTTTGTGACATTCATGATCAACTAAAGGAACGATGGTCTTGTGTATGAATTGTTGTGCCTTTTTTTGTGTTTCATGAATGTCTGGAAAACTAACAATCTAGGCTTGCACATGCATAGATTTTTAGCATACAGACAAAGTTTGCAGTGTGCATTGGCAAGATTTGTCTTGAAATTTTGATGACGCGCAAATGCCTCGGTTGCGGCAAAGCTGGGCATCGATTGGAAAGCTGCACTTCGAAAGCAGCTTTACAAATCAAAAGACTGAGAGCAAAGTTAGAAAAGACCAGGCACAAGCCAGGTTCCAGGAACAATCCTGGAAGGCAATACAGAAAGAAAGGGTACACCAAAGAGAAAGCGAGGCAAGAATACACCAAAAAGAATGTTAGAAAGACGTACTGCAAGCGTCAAAATGACAGCGTTGCTGGATGGTCGCAATTTCGGAAGAGGCTGCAGAAAAGTGTGTCAGATCCCATGATGGCGTATGAGAAGTTGAAAGAGTTCGGCTTTTTGCATGAACCAAGGAGATGTTTAGCGTGTGGGTGTGAGTCCTTGTGTCCTCCAGTTGAGAATTCTGCTTCGGACGTACTTAGTGTTTATGTTCAACATGGCCGGCGAGCGTGTCGTTGCAAGAGCAACGTTGTGTCGTACGGTGTTTTTCGAGGTCTTCGTTTGAACTGCTGTGATCTATTGCGAGCAGTAGAAAACTACTGTGGCCAAACGTACATGCGTGCTCCACACACAGCCACTATGGAGTTATCAACCTCGATAGCAGAAGGGCGAGCCAAAACATTATCGACACTTTGAGCGCGTTGGAAGTGGAAGCAGGAAAAAAATCGGTGACTCATTGACCTTTGACAAAGGAGATTCGGAAGCTGATGCCACAGCTTTGAGAAAATTCTCAGCAAGAATTACCCCAACATACCCCAACTATCTCCCGCAAATTCAACCCACCCCACCCCAACCCCATGTCGTATCGTAGCACATCTTCAGCGTAGCATCACGTCTGTGTGCAAGTGCAAGAGAAGATAGCACAGCGTAGCATGACGTACGTGTGCAAGTGCAAGAGAAGATCCCACAGCGTAGCATGACTTATTTTCAAGTTGACATGAACGTTATTACCCCCACCCCACCCCACCCCACCCCAACCCCACCCATGTGCACACCATACAATCCATGTGTGTTCAAGTTGACATGAACGTGATTACCCCCACCCCACCCCACCCCAAACCCACCCCAAATGACCCATATTATGCATATTCTATTGCGGGTTTCTACATGCGTGCATGGTTTGAGGGTTACCCCCTAATGGCTAAATTATTAAAACGATTTTGGAATCGGACTTGTTTGCCAATTCTGCATCTTTTTCGGGGTTGCTACAGGGAAAATCTGCAGCTGAAACCTGCTTCGTACCCCCATTCTGTAAGAGGTTTCCGGTTTCAATTTTCCCTTGAACCAAGTCTGGGAATGTGAAAAATTGATAGGAAAGCAACGATCCCTTTTCTTTTCATGTTTTCTATGTCGAAATATATGTTCATCTACAAGTGCAGGGCTTGCAACAGGTGAAAGGTCACATGCTGCAGCAGTCTGGGCATGAAATTTGTTGGGAAGGTCACTGCCAGCCTTGGCATTCTCATCCTTGGCATTGTTGAAGGCATCAAAGAACCTCATCTGTAAGGAATGGGCGAAATGCTGCGGATCTCACAGCCCGCTGCTGTCGTGGATCCGCAGCAAATGATGTGTTTCCATGCGGGAAACCCATGTTTCCCAGTTTCCCACCCGCCGTTCTTGCACCACTCACGTCTCTCAGTAACAATGGTCGGTGAAAAAAATAGAAAGGAAACCCACGAAACCCACATGATTCTGTCGTGCTGTTGGAAAGTGTTATACGTATATTTAATACCTTCCTGGACTCCCAATTTCACAGGAAATATGGATACCCATAGCTCTTTAGCTCCCTCTTAACCACCGGATAGTCTTTAGATGTCCCTTAGCGTAAACCAATCCACTGAACCTTTCAACGCTCCATGCATCACCACAGCCAGATCAACGCCACTTGGGTTCCCCCACTGTTGGGCCAGATCCACCTCCTTGAAGCGAAGCGCAAACTGCTCCACCTGCACTTCGTCCTGGCTCGTTTCAGGCAACTGGACACCCTCCAGTACAAATTTCATAGATCCCACACCCATCCCCAAGATTGAATAGTGAATAGTGATGAATAGTGATGAATAGTGGAGGGTGAATCCTTTCAAGCCCAAGATTTGAACTGGCGCTCTCCTCTGAGTAGTCCATCGTCGTCCAAACCCAACATTTGTCACCTCAAGGGTTGACATGGCGATGCACCTTGGGTACCCAAAAATAGTTTGACTCAGGGTCGTTGGGATGATGACTGGATTGTATTTTTTTGACTTGAAGAGGTCAACGAAAATAGTTGGAGAATGGTGAGAATTGGCTCTAAAAACATGTTCCTAAGACCATTATTTTTGACACACAGCACCAAGAACAGTTCTTTCAGATGATAGTCCACCCCTCTGAGAAGTCTGACTACCTGTGTTCAACTTCAGCTCGCAATAGGGCGGATAGTCGTAGGGATAGTGGTTTGCCACCTGATTTCAATGAACAAGCCAAATTCCTAATTACAATGCATCCGGTAGCCCATTTGACTAACTTTCATCTGATTGAATGATGTGTCATATCCAACAAAGAACATATCCTTTCCCAGTCATTCTTCAACAACCAACACTCTCACGCAGCACAGACTCAGTCTGCCACAATCTTGCCCGTCTTCTCTTGTCGCATCATGAATCGAATTTTGCCGTTTTCCTGGATCAACTCCAAAGCGTGGCAAGTCATGGCTACCAGCGGCTACCATACTTCTAACCCAGTTTCAATTGAAACCCGGCAGGTGCGGATCCAACTAGGCCAGCGCACCCTATGGCGAAGCAGCTTCGATTCTCCCAGCCCTCGCTCTTTCCATTCGCCATCTTTGAAGCGATACCTGCAGAGCAAACCCACCGCAAGGATTGGCAGGGCGCTGCTTAGAAATGGGCAAAACATCGAGGCGCAGAATCCCAAGCAGCTCCGAAGTAAGCACCATTTCATGGATGGTTTTTCCCTAAACTTATGAGTCTAGTCTAACTATGCATATATTTACATATACACATAGTTTATATATATATATACATATAATCATAAATATATATATATATATATTATATGCATACATACATAAAGCAGCAGAATGTTGTTGAAGCAACAAATGACTGGCAGTGGTCCCCCAGCGCACAACTTGGAGCGCTGTGAGTAAATCTCATCTTCGTCCTCTTCCCCTGTTGGCACTTCCTGCGCAATGGAGTGGCTTTTAGTTCGACAAAAAGTCGATAAGCTCAATCAGCACCTGATTTTCATAGCAAATGGATACACTATCCAAGGGTTATCCACACCTCTGCTCTGCTTCCCAAACAGTCATCATTTTCATTGTTGCTGGATCCGTCTTCCCACGCATCCATCTGCTAATGAAGTCGTCCTGCAGGTCCAGTGATACTGCAGGGGCCCAGCCTGAGCAAACAATGCAAGGCCAAATCGTTTCCATGAGTCTGGAAAACTCGAATTGACAAAAATTGTATATCTAAACTATTCTAAACTAAACCGATCGGTCCACTGGTCCCCATCAAAGAATTTCTAGAGATCAAATGGCGCCTGGGATTTGTGTCACTTCCTCTTCCTCCACGAGCTCATTTTCCTGCGTCTCCTCTGCCATCAGTACCGCCAAGAGTTCAGCGATGCTAGAACACACGCAGCTTGAGCCAATGGCAATTTTTACATCGGCATAGATGATCATAAATGGCTGGGGCAAACAGCTGGACCAACTTTGTTTTGCTCATTTCCACATTGATCACTGTTGCACGCATTCTGCAAAGAAAAAGATCAAGAAAACAAGACAACCAAAACGCACGCCCAAACTGGTGACCGGTCAAGCATGTAAATGATAAAGCAGGCCTTGAAAATGCCACCGACTCACCAGAACCGCGCTTATTTTGGCATACCTCACAGCTGCAGAAGCTGCATCCAGAGCTTCCAAGGGTCTCTTCATCTTGGGTTTCCTGGCATCGGTTCCGCAATTCCATGCCTCTGCTGTTGGTACGCCATCATGTTGACCGGTCGCGGGAGGCACTCCCCCCCAAGCGCGTGCCGGTGACTGACACGTCGTTCAGGCAAAGCGATCATCTTCAGAACGGTGTCGAGGATGACAGTTCTGCAGCTGCTTAGCCCAGCTTGGCTTGCATGTAGGACGAAAATCTCAGAGGAGATGGTAGGCCTTCGGGGGCATTGAGACAAAAAGGAAACAATTCAGTATATTTGGGACTTGGAATCGAACAACCAGTTCAATCAAGGAATATTTACATTGCATGACACGCATGTGAAAGCCGGACAGCTACTGTTGCGTCTAAGGCACGTGTATCTCTCCCTCCCTCAAATCTCAATGCCAGCGGCAAACGAATGTCTTCAGATCGCCAGGGCAACCGTCCGGACTCACCCAGCAGGACATGCCACAAGTATTCCACAACATAGCAGGGCATATGTGCAACCTGGGCAACAATGTGGGTTGCCAAACGAACTCCGTTCCCTGTCAGGTTCAAATCACAAATTTCTATCTTAGTCAAGACACTTCGCAAATCCCACCAGCCAGTGCCGTGTAAGCACCCGTAGTCACTGCTGCCAAAAGGTTGTGCAAATGATGCACAGGCAGGCTGCGAATGCGTTTGGAACTGACCACAAAATGGCCACAGCAGTAGGTCGACAAACGTCCCTCCAAGTCCTTTCCAAAGACCATCTTATAGAGTGACTTGAGGCAAGGAGTGGACGCAGATACATAGCGCTCATGCGCAATGTTCAAATAATCTGCTGAATATGATCCCATGGCCAGGCTTCGGAACACAATTGATAGGAAGTCTGGCTTCAGGTGTCTGGGCGCATCATCATGAATAAAGATGGTGTAGTCTGCCAAGTAATTCAACGGTGCAGTTGCGGCCAAGCCATTCAAAATGTGTTGCAGGTAGGCTGTGCACTCACCTGTCATCCATTTCCCCTCATCCTGCAGCGGCACCACCAACACTTGCGCCACTTGGTTTACGATGCCTGACGACTGGCTGTAAAGAAGACAAACGCAAAAGCTGACCGAGAGGTGGGCTACTTGATGATGAACAGGAATGTGTTTAGTTTATCGTCAAAGTCATCCATCAGTGGATGCACCTGATGCAACTGGAGTAGATTTTCATGGCCATCATCTGTTCACACTGTTTCATCTTTTGTCTACAGCTAGCTGCAAACCGAGGATCCTTCAAGCTGCCTCTCCAGGCCTCCTTCCTCCTCTTTGCACTTGCAGTACACCACAATCCTCGCCTCCACAAGTTGGATGCAGCACAGTCACAGGACACCAGCCATGGTGCAAAATTGCAGCTGCGCCTGTGGTGGGAAAGGTAAGGACCAAAGCCAGCGAAGAGTCGTACTGCAGCGGGCAATTACCTGAGACACAGCCCGATCCAATTTTCAGGAATTCACGGGATGCATATGGGCGTGTGTCAAAACAAGTGTACACCGAAATTACAATTTTAATGGGGAAAATGATGATGAAGCATGGGATTTTGTCAGTGCCCTATTTTGGGGATGTTTGCAGTGAATCTATGTGAATCTTGGAGGCTCGGCACTATATCCACGGAGGGAGGTGAGGTGGTCGTCAAAGCTTGGGCATAAGCAGCTTCTGCCTGATGCTGTCCCTCAAGAACTGGCCACATCTCTGTCATGATGTTGAACTCCTCTCCTTGCAGGATCTCAACTAATCAGGCCAACTGGGCAGTAAACACAGCGAGATCCACCTATTTCAGACTGCACCGGTGCTATTTACTCAGACTAAGCTTTCGGATTGACATACTTCATGAAAATTGACTATTTTCACATTTTCACTGTATGTATATATATATACACACACGTATGTGCGTGTGTAATATATATATATACATAAATTAAATATATAGATATTTGCTTACGCAAAAAATCTGCTCGGGTGTCGCCTAAGCAGGATTTCAGGGTCATTGTGCAAGATATCCACGGCCGAAGAACCACCTGCCGTCCGAGGTTCTGTCTGAATTGAGCCTTAGAATTGTGCAAAGTTTGCTGGCACGTTAGCGAGAAAGTCAGGCTGTATGCCTGCCACAACTCTCAAGTTGAGTGGAAACATAGTGGGATCATACCTGAAAGCGAATATTTCCATGTTAAGAAAGCAGATACAACTACTGCCTGTAGCCAATGGAATAATGTCTTCCAAAATTACCAAATGACACGTCTGTTTGGGTCCCAAAACACCTCCAAATTCACCCCACAGCAGCCTGGGGACAAATTTTAGCCAAGGCGCAGGAATTGCATGTAGCTCTTGGCCATGCGCAATGGATCCGTCTTGGAGTCTGTTTTGGGAGGGCCGGAAAAATAGAGCGCTTCCGCAGCCAGCAGCAGCCCAGAGACGACCATCCCAGGGCAAAGCTGGAAAGCACCATGCAATTCCTAAGCTGACCGTACTCTATGGATCAGAATTGGGTCAAAACCTAAGAACAGGATTGGTGACAATTAAGAAATGCAATATGACATGACCAAAACCTTCACATCCCTGACCTTTGTGTTTTTACATGTTTATTCAATTCTATGACTATGTATATCCCATCTGGTGCAGTGCTGCAATCTGAGGACATTTTGGCCAGGTTTTCTCATGAGCTAGGATTGGACAAGCTTCTTCAACTGGCATGCTCATGATCAAGGAAGCTTCTTCCAAAGGCGGTGCCGACGCCTTTCCCTTGGACTTCCCCAGAAGGAGGAACAGCAAAATGCCCCACACACACACAAACAATAAGAAGTAGAACAATATGAACAACAAGGAGAACACAAGACCAACTCTGACAACTCTGACAACTCCAGCTTTCTAACCGATAGACAGTTTGCCTTGAGCATGCAATCATGATACGAATGCGCCATCATCTTTCCTGCCTCGTAATATTCCCACGCACGACGCTGGAAGTCAAAGGCCAAGATTTCAGACTCGTGGCAGCCATCTCCGCCACATAGCTCCATTTTTAGCCGAGAAGTCCAATGGCATCCCTGACAGCTGCCATGGGCCATGCCAAAAGCCCCGCAAAAAGGGCTACTTATCGTTTACATTCGTTTACAAGGTCTACGTACATGTGACGGGGTCTCAGGAAACCGTAAGGACCAAAAAGAAGGGCGAAAAACTTGACCTTCCCTGGAGGACTGGAATTCCCCTTGTCGCCTTCTCGGATTCACGACGGTCTTCTTGTGGCACCTCCTATGGCCAGCATGGCGTGACAACATGATACAACAAGTTAAAGCCAAACGAACCCCTCACCCGTCCTCAGATGAAGACATGTCCGGCCTTAGTCTGAGACGCTGTGAAGCTGCTCCGCAGATGTGCAGAGAATCGGATGTGATGGGTCCATCGAGCCAAACCATGGAGCTTTCAGAAATGGAGAACACATGACTTATAACCTTCAGCCAGGAGTCACATGCAGCTCAGGGTCGAAATCTGGTGACTCCCGAGGAACACCCACCACCTCAAATAGTAAGACGTAAAGAACACCAGGAGGTGCTGCTTGGGGAGGAATGTTCGATATTCACAAATTCTGGAGAGGCGCTTGGGTCAGCGCAACCACCAGGACAAGGAGTTCCATTTCGGTCGAAAAGCGTCAAACAGTCGCAAGAGTCGCAAGACATTGACAGAGCACTTTCTGTGGCCCAAGACATGCGCCACTTGAGCAGCGATGCGTCTACAAGTTCAACACCCAGAGGTGCGACACAGCAGAAGCTTTGACAACTAGATCTAGAGCTGACTGGGCCAGGAAACAATGACTAGATGAGTAGATACCCTCTTTTCACCTAGCCATAACTCAAAGTTAGGGCAATCAACGAACTCACTCTTTTTCTTTCTTTACCATGCAACACCAATGATTGGCCCGCCACACCCATCTCTTTTTCCGCATGTGGCACTTTGGTCTACACAGACACTTTGCCGTGCAGAAACCCAGCCCACCGGGGTATCGCCTCCATGTGACCATACCGTCTCTGGATTGTGTCCAGGAACATTGCCCAGACTCACAAAGTCAAGGTATCTCTGCCTGTCATGTTAGAATTTAGAATCCCAAGGTCCTGCCTGAACACAACCTCCTTTCATAACTGATTTCTGGACAAATTACAATAGCTGTCACCATGAGGGGGAAAAAAAAGAGTGACATCGTGGTGGGGTCGTTGTAGACTGTCACCATGAGGAGGGGGAAAAAAAAAGAGTGACATCGTGGTGCGGTCGTTGTAGTGTAATTCATTTCGGTATGATAATCCGTACAACTGGTAGGATTAGTTGGTCAGTGGCGCGCTTCTAGCCGCTACTTGGAGCTGAGGCATGGCCAGTCGATGCTTGCCATAAAATGCCTTCGTCTTGGACCGTCGATGCAACGTCCTGCCCATGCTAAAGGTTGGGGCATCCCTCACCAGCAGAATCACATTTTAAGTAGGGATCCTCAACTAGAACCCAAGCATCCCAAGCTAAAGGACTTCACAAAAGAAAAGAAGGAAAATGCGACTGTGAATTGTCTCAAGCATGTACCAGCAAAAACCATGTCCCAAACTCACTAAGCCCAGGTCCGTGTTGCCCAGGATCATGGGAACCGGCATCTCCGCCTGAGTTGCCCGAAACTGTCAAAGTGGGAACAGATCGCCAAAAAAAAATGGTTATCAGCTTCCTCCAGATTTGGATGGTAAGTAAAAACATGCAAAACAACCTAGTTTCCAATGATTTTCTCTGAGCTCAGAATTCCACCCGGTCCTTAGACCCTGGCACTTCCTTCCCTCGTCTTCGGCTGGGATTCCAGAGGCCTCTCAGCCTCCAAAATCTGCAGCAAAACCATGTAAGTTTACCTTTTTTCCCATTAAATTTGATGAAATTTGGGGGTTTCCTGGTAGGCTTTTCCTTCAAAATCTTCAAAGAAAATAAATGATTTCGGATGAAATCAGATTTCTTAGCCCATGCATCTTTTATATCTATATCTATATAACAATATAGTTATTCATATATATATATTATTATTATTATTAATTATTATTATTATTATCATTATAATTATATATGCACACACATCCCGGGTTCTTGGCAATGAAACAGCCAATCTTATACCACATTTGACCAAGATTCCAGAGGGCAAAACTGGGCACATTCCAAGGCAAGCGCCCTAAGGCGGGACTGGCGCATGCCCAACTCTCCAACTGAAGCCATACCTCAGAAAACATCGACATCCCAACAGGTCCAATGCATTCGGACTCCCAACTACTCAACCGAACAAAAAAAAACTGAAAAGTTGAGTGTAACTCAAAGGGGTTAGGAAGGGATTGGTCAGGATGCGATACCCTTCATCGCGGGTTTCAAGAATTTTTGAGCCGCAGCCACATAGACACCTCCTCTGCTGCCCTTCTGAGGTTCAGGCTAGTGTTCTCTGGAAGAGACAAGAAACGTAAGATACGCGGATGGACCTAGTTGGAAGCGACGGATCACAAACACCGACCTTATACACCCCTTGAAGCTCACTCACATGGAATGCCCCCCCCAAAAAAAAGTATGTATATATACAGTATATATATATAACTTCCACCGATTTTTCGGGCACAATTCTCACATTCCACCCCCCTTTGAAAAGGTTTCGGTGGCAAAAAAAACGGTCCTTCTTCCCTCATCGGTGGCCTCCGTAGGCTGGTCGCACAAGGCAATATGGCCAGCTTGGGGTATCACCAGCAACTTGGCATTGGAGAAATATCCAGCCACCTGCAGTCACTCCAAACATCTCCAAAGATGGCGAAGCGGCCACTAAATCTCACTGAAAGATGAGGGATCACCTGGGACAATCATCACTTACTGGGTCTTTGCAGGAATAATAAGATGACTCTAGTCCAATCGATATACATATAGATATGTAAACACGCACAAATGTATATTTATATCTATCATTAGAAGCACGGATATTTGGATACATAGGCACATAGAGGTTGCATTCACGGATATAGGACATACATATGTGATGTTTATCTATGTATCTATTCTATGTATGGAATTAGTGTCATTTTCAAACCCCAGGAGAACCGCAGTGGTTTGCCTGGCCTTCTGGCCCACGGTGGCGGGTGGATTCAGTCCATCTCTTTCGCCCCAAAGGAGCAAAGTTGGTCTGGGGTGCCTGGACAAAAAAACATCACATCCAGACCCCTGAATCCCAAATATTGGCACTGACCATCCTCGCATCGAGGGAAACTGATGATTTCAGCATATATTTCAGCTTTTTTCACATCATCCCCATCATTGAGCAGTTTTCAGTGGTCAAAATGTGACGCTCCAATTCTTCGAGTGCCAACCTGCCCACATCATTGTATAAATGGCTCAGGTTGAACCAGTTCACCTGTCATGAAATCACCAGGACTCTTTTCAGCAGCAGTCAGGGGAAGTTGTGATGCGGGTATGGGGTCAAAAATTCAATCTGTACCCTGGCTTCACCCCCCTCAAATGTGGTAGTTCCTAAGTTTTGATAACATGCCAGGCACACCCTGCTGCAGGTTGCCAGTGTTGCACCAGCCACTCCTCGCTTCACAAAGAGTTGCCATACCTGAGCTGGGATGCATCAAGCTGCATCGTGAATTCTTTGTGATATTGATTGATATCGGTGATGCCTGCCCTTCACACACAAACCTCAGATTCCCACGAATCTCGACCACAGATTCGTGACTGCTTGCTCACCCATTCCCTTGTCAAAACTTGAGCGTGGACAGCGCTTCTCTTGAGCGACAGACAAAAAGTCAGATGTAGTTTTTAAAAAGTTACAAAACAATCCAGCAGTTTCGACTGTTTAGAGTTTAGAGGCTTTTCGGGTTGAGTGAGTGTTCAGTGAAATCTGGCCTGCATTTGCGGATCTTTTTTGAGTGACCTGCTGCTGCAGCCAAACGGATCCCTTCAACGACACACGGAGAGCAACTGCCAACGTTTTGTCGCATTTGTGCCAAGCCTGGTGAATCTCTCCTTCTTGTACCAACACGTGCACACAACATGTGGTGCAAGTGGGATCAAACAGCACCAGCAGGCCTCATGGATTTGACATGCTGTCAACTGTGCTATTTCCAGCTCCAAATGAATCATGGCATGAGCTCTGGACCCGTAGCAAATAGTACAAGGGTGGCACCCGCGGTACGAATCCAGCAGGTGAAATTGCCGCGATTCGCATGACCTCAGGACATGCGGACCACAGCAGTCATCAGTTGCTCAGTTAGATTCTCACTCCCCTTCGCATTGAAAAGCATACCCCCTCTGGATTCCCAAATTTGGCACGTTCAACGACGTTCAACCTGAATCTACCCATGTGGATCAACTTTTCATGCCTACAATCCCATCACGGTGAAGCCCCTCTGAGGCCCAAACCCTCTCAGGAAATCTTTTGGCAAAGGCCATGGCCACGGCACCTGCCGGCGTCATAAGATTCATTCGTCCAGGCCATCCGGGCCGATCTGGTCAGCCGCCTCCCAAACTGAAACCCAAGAGGTTCACGCGCGCAGCTGCCAGGCCTGGCAAGATCACTTCATTCTGCATCCCCCAGGTAACAACCCAATAGTGACCAGTCTCATCCAGTCTAAAACCACTTGCGGGGGCTTACTATATAACCAGGGCTATTAATGGCAGCCAGGAACAGCACCACGGGACGGTAAAGAAAAAACGCAGCGCTGAGCTGGCGGACCGATGGATGACAGGAGCTCTGCGGTCTGCTCCGCAAAACATTCAAGATCATACCTGCAAAAAAGGGGAAGAAAATGGAAGAGACATACAAGGTTTGCCATTCTCCAGCAAACAATCCATTGCCATTCCCACCTTGCTCTTGCTCCGCTGAGGGAGCAGCAGCCGGGAAGACAGCAAGAGGAGCAAGCTCTGCTGGGGCACAAATCCTGAGCAAGCACTAGCAAAAATTGAATCTTTCGGGCTATCTAATCTAGACGCCATAAATGAATGGATTTGACAGTTCCAGACCCATCTTCATTCTCTCCAAGTGTCCACAGGTGGTGCATTGCTCAAACCATGGCCATACAAGTCCTGAAAGGAATAGCTTCAAGGAAATCACTTCCAAGCGAAAGCAAGCCACATTGAGGCGTCTCATGTGCAGCGAAGAGTCAAAGGTGACCACTCGGAAGCCTCCATGCCGTGCCAAGTACACAGCAATCTCCTGCCGAACAAAATCAGAGTTTGGGGTACGCCTGCGTGCAAGTTGCACATAGCATCATAATCATCATTTCTTCCTGGAAGAGCATCCTGGAGCCGTTGAGCCCGTGAAAGCACATGACCACCTGAAGGTCTCGAAACTGCTATGCTGGTGCTGTGCTATGCTATGCTATGCTATGCTCAACAGCAACAAACGCAATCCACTGATGCACCTCTCCATTTTCTGGTCCACAAACGGAATAGTTGATGGCGCCAAAAACGCTGCCGATCGTCTGACCCTCCGAGCTCGCCACATGCTCGGAAAACTGATATATAGTATGTCTATATGTGACATGTCCACATATTGGTACAGGCTGAAGAAAGGGAAAGGGCCCCAACACAAACAAATGGAAGTTTCTTCCCATTGGGTGATCACTGTGCTTTCCAATAGCGACAACTTGAAGTCGCAAGCTTCGCCTTTGGATAAGGACATCGCACCTCACGGAAACAGCGTGGGACCTGGCGATTGGATCAGAGCAAGTTCCGAAGTTCCCAGGCAGCAAAGAGGGAACCACGACTCAGTTTGGAGGCACCGGCCCCAATGCCCCCCCAATTATCACCACCTTTTGACTTTCCCATTGTTTCATATTTATTTGTCATGTAATGTAACTATATAATGTAATAAAGTAATAATGTGATGTAACTCATTAGTCTGTTGTCCAGCTATGAAGTTGGAACCGCACTACTGGCAGCTTGACCAATGGAGTAACTGAGTACCAGTTACAAAACCTGGTGGAACCCACCTACTGACGACCTACTTCATTTGTGACTTAGTATGTAGTCTTTCAACTAACAAAGTCACAAAGCCCCAGCAAGGCCAACTTGCTTCAACACCAAACTCCCACCACTAAAAAAAAATGAATCCTGTGCCACACGATCTGAGAAAAGATTGACCAACCGAAATTGCCATGAAAATGAACATGGGTGCCAGACAGGGGCCCATGAAAGTGCATGCTTGGAACCAATTACATACGTTGATGTCAGTACTCAACTGGTGGATTTAGCTTGGACACAAGTTTTTTAAAAATGACTCGAATCCTTTGGTCCTTTGAGGTAGTTTGTCGATAGAGACAGAGTTCTATCTTTTTGATCCCGATGCTGACCTTGAACAGATTCTTCCGCTTGATTTCAACATCCCAGGTTTCAACTCACAAGGCAAAATCAATACATCCAAATTCATGCCACTGCCTGCACCAACCCTTATCATGTGCCCCGTGTGAATCCCTTGTGCGAGGCCCTAAAAAATCTAAAAACCTAAATGACCTGCTTGGCCACGCTTGGCCACACTTGGCCTGTGGTTCAGATCTGCATCGCATAGCTTCCGATTTCCATCGATCGGCATTGGCCTCGCTGCCGGGCGGCTTGCGGGTTTTCTCAGATGCCATGGTCCCAGGCCTCCCGGGTCTGCAAGGCGCCCATGAGAACTTTGCTGGGCCGGACGGCTTGACGAAAGAATTCTCTTGTCAGATTGTAGGTGGTCTATGATGCATATATATATATGTGTGTGTGTATGTATGTACATATATCTGTGTGGATGTAGATGTGGGCATTATTATTACTATTATTATTACTTTTACTTTTACTATTCCTATTCCTATTCCTACTCCTATTACTATTACTATTACTATTAGTGTTACTCTTACTATTACTATTGGTGTTACTATTAGTGTTACTATTACTATGACTATGACTATTACTATTGCTATTGCTATTGCTTTCATTAATTATCATCATTGCTACTAATTATCATCATTGTTATGAATATTATTATTATTGCTATTTCTGTATTATCATCAGTATTGTTACTATTATATGTTTTACAGATACGTATCGGTATCATTTGAATACATGTGTCTGTCGCCTCTTGCAGAAATGGTGTTCATCAATGTGCTTAGCTCAAGATCAAGGGGCAGAGATGGCTGCACGAACATAGGATCATGCGCAAGACAGCACTCTACCAGCCCACAGAATGAGATAAACATGTACATCATGTAACTATATACGAAAAGAGACCTAATGCTGCTCAGTGCTCAACTGCCCGTGGCAGGGAATGAGCGTGGCCTTTTTGAAGGTCTGTCACGCTCTTCATGGCAGTCTGCATGGCTTCATCCAACAATGTTGGCATCGCCACTCTCACCGCCGAAGCCTCACAAGCAGTCACCAGCGCAGCACCTGAGGACGTTGGGGCAAAAGCTGCTGACATCCGTTGAAGCACGTACCATCCAGCTGCAATGACGATGAAGAAAATGGAATGACAATATAACATACACACATAAGTCTGCAGAAATGTCAAGGGTGTCCTGGCATATGCATGGTCAAGAAGTCAAGGTGACAGCAATAAAAACCCACGGCCCAAGTAGAAGGATGTGCTGCCAACGGCACAGGCGAGGCCATCCCGCGCGTCCGGAAAGCTGCTTCCGACCAGCAGGGCATGCTGCCAACAAACGCTACTTGACAAAGTCCTGTCAAGTCCAGAAGTAGCCATTCGAGTTCGGAGATGAATTCAAACAGGGAAAATCCTTTGTCAAATGGCCATCATCAAAGAAAATTACATTAATGGCTGTCGAAAATAATGTAAATATGGTACAAATGAAACGAAGGAAAAAAAAACATATTGGTTATCCCTGGGAATGGGTGCATTCTTTTCATCATCTCAGCAACTGCTCAATCTTCGAGCTCCTGAGAATTGCCGTGCCGGCAAGCTCATCTGGCTGCAAAATCATCATGGAGAATGCCTGTATGGCAAGAGCTTGAGCATGTACAAACATGAGGAAGACCAGGATAGACCCACAATCCCTGTTTGATGCTCAAGATTAGTATGGGACACCAAGACTGGGGGCCTACACCATGTCTGGGCAAACCAATCTTTGCGACCAATCTGCGCAATTACGCCAGCATAGACCCCATGGTACCCTGCACCCGCACCCTGCAACGGCACCTTGCAGCACCAGCAAACCAGCTCCAAAACACACACAGATCCAACTCAGCGGCGCGCGCACGCCCAGGTCAGCCAAGCACACAAAACTAGCTCAGCTACGCACACAGATTGTTCTCAGACATACACACAAAGCAAGTTCAGCCGCGCACACGCCACGACCTCGTTACCTTAAGGGCTTATCTATGTCGTGTATAATGTAGGAAGGGGATGGAAGGGGCACGACACCTTTGGGGGTTATCCCTGTTGTTGCACATAATGTAAGAAGGGCCACGACACCTTTATTGTTTATATGTTGTTGCACTTACTGTAAGAAGAGAAGCGACACCTTTAGGGTTCATCTGATGATGTTGTGATTCATGTAAGAAGGGCCAAGGCACCTTTAGGGTTTATATGTTGTTGCACTTAAGGTAATAAGCGCCACGACACGTTTAGGGTTTTTATGTTGTTGCTCTTAATGTAACAAACAAAGGCCACGACGCCTTTAGAGTTTAGATGTTGCCGCACTTAATGTGAGAAGGGCCAAGACACCTTTAGGGTTTATACGTTGTCGCACTTGAGATAGCAAGGGCCACGACACCTTTACCGTTTATATGTCCTTGCACTTAATGGCGACACCTTCAGGGTTTATACGTTGTCGCACTTGAGATAGCAAGGGCCACGACACCTTTACCGTTTATATGTTCTTGCACTTAATGCAAGAAGGGCCGCGACACCTTCAGGGTTTATACGTTGTCGCACTTGAGATAGCAAGGGCCACGACACCTTTACCGTTTATATGTTGTTGCACTTCATGTAAGAAGGGCCACGACACCCTTCAGGGTATATGTATATACATACATATAATATATATATATATAAATATATGCGCGTGTGTGTGTGTGTTCTTGCATATGTTGTTGTGATTAATGACAGCGCCTGTAGCATCCGCAAGGCTGACGGCCATGGGCTGCTCATCAATGCAGTGCTGGAAAGGATGTCTGGGACTAAGGCCGACTGCCTCTGGCAACAGGAAGGACTTGAAGGTATCACCAAACCAGGTTGGGGGCCTAGTTTAACGGCCATTTCAGGAACCTAAATTGGAGGTACCTAGCATATATAAGGCCTATATAAGGCCTATGTAAGGGAATATCCTCACAAAATATGGCCTTATATGGTACAGTACCTCCATTTTAGGATCCTGAAATTACCATTGACTAGTGGGGATCCTGGGACCCCAGGAGATTCGAAAGTATCAATTTGCAACTTTCTAATGAGAGCAAGACTGAAAGCAAGACTGCTTGCAAGTAGTTAGTTTCTTGGTACCTGGGTACCTTATCTATGTATAAACATTCAGGGCCACTCTGGCAAGCCTCATTGAGTAAACCAATTCTGTAGACCAGCACCAGCGACTTCTGTCGCAAGCATTCATAGCTGCATTGTATGCAGAGGTGGTAGCAATGATTCCTGCGCCCAGAAGGTGCTAAGCTCGCAATGAATCATGTGGCAGCCCAATATACATCGCCATACATCGCCTAACCTAGTAACATTACCGCGGGATGTTTAAATAAAGAATATGTTTATTTGTTTATAAATATACCAGTAGTACCCGCACGAGGCGGGGCGGAAGTTGCCTTAAAGATATATATAAGACCTTTCTCATCTATAGAACTTGCATGCGCCGTGCGCCAGCCAAGCCCGTGCGTGCGCGCACTCTGCGAAAGTTGTGTCCTGCTTCACATGTCACATGTGAAGCTCCACTTCACACTTCACACTCCACACTTCACACTTCACACTGCACTCTTCGCACTCCACACTTCACACTTCACACTGCACTCTTCGCACTCCAAACTTCACACTTCACACTTCTCACTTCTCACTCCACACTTCACACTCCACACTTTACACTCCACGCTTCACACTTCTCACTGCTTTCTTCAGACTCCACACTTCATACTTCACACTTTACACGTCACAGTCCACACTTCTCATTGCTTTCTTCACACTCCCCACACTTCTTCACTCCACAGAGAAGCTTTTACACACAGCAAGCTTTCACACACAGCAAGCATTTACACACAGAACACTTACACACAGTGCTTTTACACATGGCAAGCGCTTACACACACACAGAAACTTTTACACAGAGAAGCTTTTACACACAGCAAACTTTTACACACAGCAAGCTTTCACACACAGCAAGCGTTTACACACAGTACTTGCACACAGTGCTTTTACACATGGCAAGCGTTTACACAGAACACTTACACACAGTGTTTTTACACATGGCAAGCGTTTACACACGCACAAAAAAAAGCTTTTACACAGAGACACTTTTAACACATGCGCAGATAAGCTTTTACACACAGCAAACTTTTACACGCAACATCTTTTACACACAGCAAGCTTTCACACACAGCAAGCGTTTAGACAGAGAACACTTACACACAGTACTTGCACACAGTGCTTTTACACATGGCAAGCGTTTACACACAAACTTTTCCACACAGGAATTGCAGCTTCAAAACCGGATCTCGACGCCAAAGCAGAAAAAAGACGATTTTGAAGCATTTTTAAAAGGGATTTTAAAAGGAAAAATACTAACCAGCGCCAAAATTGCGAAAATCTGCTGACAAATGACTATCGCAGCCTGGATGCAGCCACTCCAATACGATTTACAATCTTCAGCTGCAAAAGACAATAGTATTACGCATGCAGCCGCGGCGGCAAGCAACCTTGAGGCAGCCACTCCAATGCGATCTGCAGAGACCGAGTTGCAAATCACAATAGAACTAAGCGCAACGGCGTCGGAAATTGCAGCTCCAAAACCGGATCTCGACGCCAAAGCAAAAAAAAAGACGATTTTGAAGCATTTTTTTTAAGGAATTTTAAAAGGATAATTATTAGCGCCAAATTTGGGAAAATCTGCTGACAAATGACTATCGCAGCCTGGATGCAGCCACTCCAATACGATTTACAATCTTCAGCTGCAAAAGACAATAGTATTACGCATGCAGCCGCTGCACCAAGCAACCTTGACGCAGCCACTCCAATGCGATCTGCAGAGACTGAGTTGCAAAACACAATAGAACTACGTGCAATGGCGTCGGAAATTGCAGCTCCAAAACCGGATCTCGATGCCAAAGCGACAAAAAGACGATTTTGAAGCACTTTTTAAAAGGACTTTGAAAAGGAAAATTACTAGCGCCAAAATTGAGAAAATCTGCTGATACATCACTATCGCAGCCTGGATGCAGCCACTCCAATACGATTTACGATCTTCAGCTGCAAAAGACAATAGTATTACGCATGCAGCCGCTGCACCAAGCAACCTTGACGCAACCACGACAATGCGATCTGCAGAGACTAAGTTGCAAAACACAATAGAACTACGTGCAATGGCGTCGGAAATTGCAGCTCCAAAACCGGATCTCGACGCCAAAGTGAAAAAAAGACGATTTTGAAGCACTTTTTAAAAGGAATTTTAAAAGGAAAATTATTAGCGCCAAAATTGGGAAAATCTGCTGACAATTGACTATCGCAGCCTGGATGCAGCCACTCCAATACGATTTACAATCTTCAGCTGCAAAAGACAATAGTATTACGCATGCAGCCGCGGCGGCAAGCAACCTTGACGCAGCCACTCCAATGCGATCTGCAAGCACAGATTCCAAAACACCCTATAACTACGCACACACAACCACACCCAAAGCAGCTTGAAGCCACCGTTACACTGCGGCAAAAAAAAAACGACCAACCGACCCCAGCCGCAACCGCCGCACAGACGAGGTACCTTTCATCGTCGCCTGCAGCCACTTTACACGGAAAAACACAAGGTTTCGCGCTCCGGCTTCCTCCCCAAAACAAAGCCCATGCAACATTCATGCAGCCATTACAATGCGGTTCGCAGCAGCAACTCGCAAACTTGCACCTATCTACGCACAGAACAACACCAGAACACCAAATGACAACAGTCATGCAGCCATTCCAATGCGATCTTTTCGCACAGATTCCAAAACACCCTATAACTACGCACACACAAGCACACCCAAAGCAGCTTGAAGCCACCGTTACACTGCGGCAAAAAAAAAAGGCAAACCGACCGCAGCCGCACCCGCCGCACAGACGAGGTACCTTTCATCGCCGGCTGCAGCCACTTTACACGGAAAAAGACAAGGTTTCGTGCTCCGGCTTCCTCCCCAACTCACCACTTCCCTTCCTCACCACTTCCCATCGTCACCACTTCCCATCGTCACCACCTCCCTTCGTCACCGCTTCCCTTCCTCACTACTTCCCTTCCTCACCACTTCCCATCGTCACCACTTCCCTTCGTCACCACTTCCCTTCGTCACCACTTCCCTTCGTCACCACTTCCCATCGTCACCACTTCCCTTCGTCACCACTTCCCTTCGTCACCACTTCCCTTCTTCACCACTTCCCTTCGTCACCACTTCCCTTCATCATCACTTCCCTTCGTCACCACTTCCCTTCGTCACCACTCCCCTTCATCATCACTTCCCTTCTTCACCGCTTCCCTTCGTCACCACTTCCCTTCTTCACCACTTCCCTTCCTCACCACTTCCCTTCGTCACCACCTCCCTTCGTCACCACTTCCCTTTGTCACCACTTCCCTTCGTCACCACCCGTCATTAACTGCTTCTTATTCTTTTGTTATGTATTGTTATGTGATCTACCACCCTGCATCATTTCAAGTCGCTGACTTCTATTTGTCCGTAACACGGAAGTATTGCTTCCCAACTTCCTTTGATAACTCATGACTAAACTAAACCATTCAAAAGTGGTGTGTATTTGTTTGAATTTACAACAGTGGCGCAGTGCGCGCAAATGAGCTATTGCAACGGTTTGAGGCCTCTGATCCTCAGCTGTCGTAGCCAACTGACAGCAGAGGTCCACTGCTGGCTTTGGGCCGCAGTGCTAATAACCGTTTGGAAGACCTTGGGACGCTCAGCCCAACTCCTGGGACGACCACACCATCTTTTTTTTTCATTTTGGATTTGTTCCAGGATGTTCCAGGACCCTGCAATGAACTTGAGGCCCAAGGGGGGGGGTGAACAAAAGCTAAGGTTCATATGAGCCTGGAAACATGATGGGATTCTGCTGATGGGATTTGGATATGCTGAATACAGATTGCTTAGAGACCTGGCAGGATTTGAGCCCGTGACCATCTGCTTCCAACACTGCCCCGGGAGGGGGGTTCGAGTGAAAAATCACTGTGTTGGACTCAGACCTGCCCCTCCCCTTGCTGAAGCAAGTGTAACTGCAGCTAGCTACCGCTAGCTTTCGTGATCAATCCACAACTTAAACCGAACCAGGGCTTCTGCTTTTTTAGGGGGAAGAGATCCTGCTGCTGGTCGAGCAGACTGTACCAAACTCTCCGTCGGTTCCATCTCTTGCAGATCAAGACGGGAAGTAAAACATCTTTGAAACAACCAGTTGTTGCCCACCTTTGATGACCTCATCACCCCTTTGTCCATGAATTTGAATGATCTAGCGGAAGGCAGTGCTGTGACAATCCCTCCGCTGAGCATTCCAGCCACGACATCAGGAGACACGGTCCGCAGGCACTGCAAAACTTTTGTGACCTGTTGCCACTGCTGCGACCTGCCCAGCCATCCGCATGTGACAAACGATCACTGTTTGAGGGATATATATATATATATCCCCAATCATCGGTTTCAGCGTCTCAGTGCTGCCTCTCGCAGCCACTAAGAGTCGCGGCACAGGTGATGGGATCTGGCCTGAGAAGTCTCAAGGCCAAAAGGATCCATGATCAGCGACCAGGATACATCATCCCCTTGCATCATAGGGGCGATATTCAGCTACCTAAAGTGCTACAGTATTGTTTAGCCAATACCACAGAGATCATCCCCTGGAAGACATGGTGATCAGCCGCCTGAGATCCCCGGAGGAAAGTAAGTCCGACAGCAAGTTGAAGGACATCTCCCAGAGGCTTCCACGGTGGCAAGCACTGATTCCTGGATGCAGGAGGCATCAAAGTGGATTTTCGTGGCTTAGGTTATCGCATAAAACAGGTTCCGGTTCTCTCGTAATTGAACTGCATGCTGGTTTCATGCATACATACATGTCTAAATGTGTGTAAGAATGTATTATATGTATACCTGTACCTGTACACATTCACTTTTGTATCTTTCTCTCTCTCTCTCATATGTCATACCTGGCCAACAGAATATGGCTTACAAAACCAAAAAAAAACTGGCCTACACTTTCTACTCTGGAATGCCGGCCCCTGCAGCTCCTGAATTCAGTGTGACCAGCGTTGGCCGCAGCGCCAGGTTGCCCATCTGTTCCAACAGTCGCAGGGCGTCCTGCGCATTCTGAGCCTCTGCCAGGAGCACGTTGAAAGCCACGGGATCGGCAGCCACGTCCTGCAGCGAACTTGGAACCAAGTCCAATGGGGGTCGACTTACGGAGATCAATGAGAATTTTGAAATCAAAAATACGGAGTCAATATGAATGAATCTGATATAATCTGATTTTAGTCATGCAATATGGCTATCATCAAGTGGTTTGTTGTTTAGCCACATGGTACACATCAAAAGTCAACTGGCTCCTCATCTCATTCTGGGATGAAACAACTGGGTTGGAATGCAAACCACAACGGGGAGTGCAAGATCGCGAATGTTTGAACCCACCCATTGTTTCACCACCGGCAGGTCAACGAGCCTCGAGGCATTCTTGCGCTTGCGCCCAACATGCTGAGTTCACCAAGGCCCCAAGAGCAGTGTTGCAACACACCTGTCCCAAATGAAGGGAATCATCACAGCTGAATGCATCACAGCATGTCGCACCTCGTTTGGTTGCAGCCCACGTGGTCTCATTCCCACAAAAAGGCTCAACACAACCTCTGCCACGGCGATCAATGGCGTTGGATATGCAGTTTCTTTGCAGGGAGCTGGGCGTGAATGCAATGTTCGTCCCACAAAGGCCTATGTAATATTAGAGTTTCCTGCTCGAATTCGCACTTTAACCCCAAAGGCTATTTAGATGTTTCCCACACATTACAGTGTCAATCCCAATTTCTGAGCATGTTCCACCAAATTGTCCAAATTATACAAGTTCAATCTTCAAGCTCTTGAACTTTTGGCAGATCACAGTTCCACCCATGAAAAATTGTCTCAGGGAATGATTTCAGAAAAAACAAGGTGGCTTCACCAATTTCTTGTAATGTGGAAAGCCAATAAACCTCCAAGTTTGAATTGCTTCCACCACGGAACCACGTACTGCATTTCCCGAAAACCCTAATATTGAATCGTCTCCATCCCATGCCATGGCACTTCCCACACTCCAGCTGTACTGGTGGCATGCAGCACGGAACCCAACGCGCGAATGCTGCGCGAGCTGTGGGAAGCAAGTGCCACTGCAGTCGACCAGCGAGGTCTGCAAGCACTGACGCCTGAAACGACTCATCGGCTGCTCTTGGTCGTGAACTACCCACCACAATCGGTTCAAGTGGTTGGTGGCTCGCCGCAGTCGATCCAGTAAGGAAAGTAGGGGCAATGTTCAATCATAATTGAGGTGATTTACCACTTACGATTCTCAGGGTGAACACCCAGTAGATACTGTGGACAAAATTGGTTGGTGAATACTTATTCCCGTTGACAGCAAAAAATGAAATACTAAACTGCCTGCCGGGGATGGACATGCAGAGGGCATATGCTGATGGCATATCCAGAAGGCATACTGTGAGCCCTTGATTTGTAGCTAGGTTCGCTATTGTGGCCAAAAAAACTATTCTTTTGTTAGAGTAAAGGTATTGTTGCCATGGTTCCCTATTGTGGCAACATACCTGGCAAAACATATTTTTCTGAAAAAAAAAGTTGTTTTGTTTGAATTATCCTTAGCATTTTTTTCTGAAAAAAAACGTTATTTGCCTGCCTGTCCTGAAGGATCCGACCTCTTATTGCAATTTTCTTGAAGAACCACACCTGAACAAATTTGCAAGCCACTAGGCCATGACAAGGTCCAGTTCACTTTAGTAGGTTTGTGGCCTAGGTTCAGACTTGCAGCAAAAAAATCTTGAGGTGATCTTGGGGTCAAGTGCCAAAAAAAGAAAGAAAACTTTTCACACAAGCAATTGCCAATTTCAAATTTCAAGCCTTCCTAAAGGATCCACTCTCTCATGAAACCCTTCTGAAAGAACCACACCTGAACGATTTTGAAAGCCACTAGACCACGAGAAGGTGCAATCACGACAAATACTGCAAGTACTACAAGCGCCGAAGTACTACAAGTTCACCGGTCAAATAACTTGAGAAGGGGTGACACGAAAGGTAGTTGTGTCACAGGGGACGCGGGGGATCACTCAGTGAGAAAGCCGACATGCGACCGGGCCCTTTTCTGCTGACACCAAGCCTTAGGCTTGTCAATATGAACGTCATGCGCTAGCAAATCACCGCTTTGACAGAATGAAGGGAAAATTTCTGTCCAACCGACGTTATAACTCTGAGTGTCGTTGTGATGTGACTCTAGCTGGGGTGGTTCATGAACCGTGGACGGGCATGAAACTGGACATTCATAGCTGAACGGAGATATCTGGAGCCGAAAAGAGGGCACCCCACGATTGCCATGGTTGATCATCACTTAGTCTATTTAAAGAGCCATTTGGAGGTATATTGTCTGACACACGCATCGTGCGGGGAAAAAAAACACGGTCAGTGTTAGCACAAACTCCAAAGTCGCTTTTGCGGCACCTATGGATGCTCGAAACTGGCACTTTCATCGCACCGTGGGGTACGTGGCAAATGGATGTCGAAAAATCCGAATTGCAAGTCGAATGATGATGATGATGATGATGAGGATGATGATGCTGATGATGAGGATGAGGATGATGACGATGATGCTGATGATGAGACACTGCGAAGGGGCTGCTGCGTGAAGAGACTCAAGAGGCATATGGCGAGAGTTCCCTTTGAGGGGGGGAGGGGGGGTCCCCTTTCTCCTGGTCGTTCAGGGATAAGGGGTCCAGCCCGCCCCTTTGCTTCGCAAAGTAAAACTCAAGGTAGCCCGCTAGGAGGCTACCTTTCGTGATAATACTAAATTGTCGCCAATGAAAATCCGTACTTAAATATCTTGTCTCCGGAACTGCTGTTTGAAAACCAACTTTATAGAGGGTATGGAAGGGAGGCAAATCAGGACGCAACATTACGCAAGGCACATAGCAATCCTCAGAAAGAGACACATGTAAATCACCACACAAATCAGGAATTATTTTTAAACGGACGATGTCTGGAAATACCAACAAAAAATTGCCTGCGTTCCACGTGATGGAATCTCTTTGCAGCCCTTGAAGCACAGTTCCAAAGACCAGCTGCAGCGCAGCGCTCCAGCGGCTCCGACAAGCGGAGATTGCCGAGTTGGCTGAAATGATGTCACATTCCAAGGCAAGCCTTGCCCAATGGTAGGCCCCGATCCGAAATAAATACGGGTATCATTGGGTCATATCGGGTCACAACATGTTGCAACTCCACTTATAAGTGGTGGTTTGTTTTTTTTTACTGAATAGGGCTTAACCCGGGCTCAAATGTCTTTTAAACCAACCAGAAGGGGGCTATCATTGCACGTGTCTGCGAACCAGTGACCCTACATTTTCACCCCCTGCCTTTGGATGCCGGAGACGGCTGCAACTGCTCGTGACCATTCGGACCCCTTTCCGACTGCAGCAACCGCCGCATTGCAAATGGCCAGATCAACTTGAAGAGATCGCGCAGGAAGTTTGGCAAATGCAACCCAAGCCTGGCGATAGCAACATTTTGTCGTTCGAAGCTTCCGTTCGGAATTTCCAAACTTCCCCACAAACAAAACATTATATATATTTCTTTGATGTTTCTGCTACTGCATGAATCACTATATATATATAATATTTATGTATGCATTTATTTCTTTAATTTTTAGTTTATTCATTTACTTTATTCTTGTGGGTGGGTGTGTGTGTGTGTCGGTGTCCGTAATTATTTATGTATATGCACGTGTGTTTCTTTATGTGTCCATCTATTTTTTGTTTCCGAATGCATAGCGAATGGTTTTTCTATGTTTTTCTTGCGTTCCCTGGGTGTTCTTTTTCGCCCGCAACCGCTCGCAACCGTTTGCAACCGTCCACAACCATCCGCAACCATCCGCAACCATCCGCAACCATCTGCGATGAAGGGTCTATGGCCGTACCATTGGCGATTGCTGCAAAAGCTGATCCTTTTAGAGGTTTGGAAACATGTGCAACATCGTTTTACGTGGCAGGCGTGGCTCAAAAGTGTTGCTGAGCCAAAACTATCCAAACAGGAAGTTAATCAACATGCACACCTGAAGAGCCCGACTCAACTTCTCATGGTCTTGATATGTCTTGATGCACTTATGATAAGGTGTTGTTATTGCAGTACCTTCCATGAAAAGCAACGTTTTCACGTTTTTTTCCCAGCACCTCTTTCCGCGCCGGGTGTCCTAACGAAAATTTCGTGGCAGGCGCATCCGCAGCACTTTGGAGATGTCCGTCTCCATTTTGTGTGGCAATCGCAGCCCTTAGATGCGTGGCATCGCGTGGTGTTTGGCAATTGCGCTGCAGTGCTGCGTCAGCGGTGACCACGCCAATTTCGAGGCAGAGGCTTTCTTCCTGGCAGGCGCAGTGCAGCATTTGGGGAAGTTCCTTCGCGCATGGAATGTCAGCGTTCGCGGCAAATTCAATGTTTGGGGTACGTTTGTGTTTGTAACTGACGCTTTGGGCATCGGCACGGCTGCGAGAGGTGCGATGTTGCCTTCATAGAAGGGCGGCGAAAAGAATTGCCTTCCAACAGCACTGGCCACTGTAGACTCTCCCGACTCTACGTCCACGCCACTCTTGAATTGGCGTCACACTCTACTCAGACTCTACTCCACCCTCTATACTCCACACTCTACACTTTACACTCTACATCCGACACTCTACACTCTACACACTTCACACTCCACCCTCTATACTCCACACTCTACACTTTACACTCTACATCCGACACTCTACACTCTACACACTTCACACTCCACCCTCTATACTCCACACTCTACACTTTACACTCTACATCCGACACTCTACACTCTACATCCGACACTCTACACTCTACACACTTCACACTCCACCCTCTATACTCCACACTCTACACTTTACACTCTACATCCGACACTACACTCTACACACTTCACACTCCACCCTCTATACTCCACACTCTACACTTTACACTCTACATCCGACACTCTACACTCTACATCCGACACTCTACACTCTACACACTTCACACTCCACCCTCTATACTCCACACTCTACACTTTACACTCTACATCCGACACTCTACACACTTCACACTCCACCCGCTATACTCCACACTCTACACTTTTTACACTCTACATCCGACACTCTACACTCTGCACACTTCACACTCCACCCTCTATACTCCACACTCTACACTTTACACTCTACATCCGACACTCTACACACTTCACACTCCACCCGCTATACTCCACACTCTACACTTTTTACACTCTACATCCGACACTCTACACTCTACACACTTCACACTCCACCCTCTATACTCCACACTCTACACTTTACACTCTACATCCGACACTCTACACTCTACATCCGACACTCTACACACACACTTCACACTCCACCCTCTATACTCCACACTCTACACTTTACACTCTACATCCGACACTCTACACTCTACACACTTCACACTCCACCCTCTATACTCCACACTCTACACTCTACACTCTTACACTCTACATCCGACACTCTACACACTTCACACTCCACACCGCTATACTCCACACTCTACACTTTTTACACTCTACATCCGACACTCTACACTCTCCACACACTTCACTTTTTACACTCTACATCCGACACTCTACACTCTACACACTTCACACTCCACCCTCTACACCCACACTTTAAACTCTACACACTTCACACTCCACCCTCTATACTCCGCACTCTACACTTTTTACACTCTACATCCGACACTCTGCACACTTCACACTCCACCCTCTATACTCCACACTCTACACTTTACACTCTACATCCGAAACTCTACACTCTACATCCGACACTCTACACTCTACACACTTCACACTCCACCCTCTATATTCCACACTCTACACTTTACACTCTACATCCGACACTCTACACTCTACATCCGACACTCTACACTCTACACACTTTACACTCCACCCTCTACACCCACACTTTAAACTCTACACACTTCACACTCCACCCTCTATACTCCGCACTCTACACTTTTTACACTCTACATCCGACACTCTACACTCTACACACTTCACACTCCACCCTCTATACTCCACTCTCTACACTTTTTACACTCTACATCCGACACTCCACACTCCACCCTCTATACTCCACACTCTACACTTTACACTCTACATCCGACACTCTACACTCTACACACTTCACACTCCACCCTCTATACTCCACACTCTACACTTGACACTCTACATCCGACACTCTACACTCTACATCCGACACTCTACACTCTACACACTTCACACTCTACACTTTTTACACTCTACATCCGACACTCTGCATACTTCACACTCCACCCTCTATACTCCACACTCTACACTTTACACTCTACATCCGACACTCTACACACTTCACACTCCACCCTCTATACTCCACACTCTACACTTTACACTCTACATCCGACACTCTACACTCTACATCCGACACTCTACACTCTACACACTTCACACTCCACCCTCTATACTCCACACTCTACACTTTACACTCTACACTTTACACTCCCTGGTCTACATTCGCACTCTAGGCCACACACTCGGTGCGGCACATTCCACACTCTACACTGTATACCCCACACTCTGCACTCCCCACTCCCCACACTTCACACTCCTCATTTGAAATTTCGCACTCCGCACTGCGCACTGCACACTCTACACTCCCTTCCCTACACTTTCCACACTTCACATGCACACTCTACAACACTCTAGTACCCATTTCCCGTGATTCAAAAACCTTTCCACTGTTTACATTCTACACTTCAAATCCACACTCTGCACCCCCGCCCTGCTCCACACTCCGCGATTTACAATGATACGGAAACAATGGAATTTACAAGATTGTGAAAACAATTTGTTTATTCATTTGTTCCTTGATTCATTTTGGCATTTTATCATGTCTTCCCTTCTTTTCTCATGTTTGCTACTTTTCCATTTTTCATTTTTTTCATTTTCTCATTCTCATTTACTCCTTCACTCGTTCAGTCATTCACTAATTTACTCATTTACTCATTTCCTCATTTATACCTATTTACCCGTATCTTCATTTGTTCATTTGTTGATAATTTCCTTTATTCGTTTTTATCATTCAATTCATCCGCTCATAAATTATTAGTTCAAGAATTTCAGTTACTCACTTGCTCGTTTGTTCATGTATTTTATTTTCGCTAACAAACCACAAGACGATGGGGAAGGATCAAACGTATAGATCCATATTCATATATGTGGTTTATTTATTTAAACTAACAATAAAACATCAAGAAGAATAATATATAACAACAAATATCTCGAGGATACGCGCGCCATCGAAAGTGTGTTTCCAAATCGTGATCATCAAACTGCACAAGGACATGCGGATAAATCACAAAAGCAAATCGAAACAAACAAACAATGGACATCACTGAAATGAAAACGCGGCGGTGGAATGCTGCCTCTCTTTTTGTCGCGGATTCACTTCGATGCACAGTCGGGGTAAAGACAGGAAAGGTTGCAGTTTCAACCTGTAGCGAACAAATCATGTTTTTGTCACAGGAAGGTGGCAGATGATGCTATCTGCGTAGGGTCAAGCTTTCCGGTTGCATGCTTCCGGAACACCCGTTGATATACCCCCCCGCAGCGTGGGTGGGTGAACGTAGTGAAAGTAGGGTGGGTAACGCTGCCCTCTTAAAAAGGGTGGAATTCCCACCCAATTCCCACCCACCCTCCCTTGAAACGGAAAACATCAAACGAATGAAAAATCACACATGTGAACATGAAGTATCATCGATGTTTCCAGTTAAACAGGGAGACAACCAACAAACTGTTTACTGTTTGTGTTTGTTTGTTGTTTGGTGGTTTCAGAGATATTTTTTTTTGGTCTTGTTAATTTGTCCCACTGGGACAAATTTTTGTTGTCGTGAAAATAAGGCATTCATCTTTGATTCTCAAAGAGGTGTTGCTTATTTTCGCTAACAAACCACAAGACGATGGGGAAGGATCAAACGTATAGATCCATATTCATATATGTGGTTTATTTATTTAAACTAACAATAAAACATCAAGAAGAATAATATATAACAACAAATATCTCGAGGATACGCGCGCCATCGAAAGTGTGTTTCCAAATCGTGATCATCAAACTGCACAAGGACATGCGGATAAATCACAAAAGCAAATCGAAACAAACAAACAATGGACATCACTGAAATGAAAACGTGGCGGTGGAATGCTGCCTCTCTTTTTGTCGCGGATTCACTTCGAATGCACAGTCGGGGTAAAGACAGGAAAGGTTGCAGTTTCAACCTGTAGCGAACAAATCATGTTTTTGTCACAGGAAGGTGGCAGATGATGCTATCTGCGTAGGGTCAAGCTTTCCGGTTGCATGCTTCCGGAACACCCGTTGATATACCCCACTGACTTAAGTGTGCAGGAAGAACCACTGAGAGAAGTTTGGCTTGGGTAAGCCAGGCCACGTTAAA